GTGATTCAAGGATGTAAAAGAGATAGACAGACACAAAGGTAGAAAAAAGGTGAGGTGAGTACTGTGAAAGTGGTGGAATATGACATACAGTGGGGTCATGGTAGTTTGAAGTCAGAAGTCACCTGCAGGTTGATAGATTTTTTGCCGTATGAGTATACGTTGTCCAAGGTGCACTACGTGGAGTTAAGTGTATCGCACACCCCAAGTTACTAGTATAAAACCATGTATTTACGTTTATAAATAGTATACTGTATATAGACTTTGTTAGTAAACAGGCAATTATTAATTAAGTCGCCCTTATTTCTATGCTTGTTTCCGATTTTCACATGTCGATTGCCTTCTTTTAGGCAAGAGTTGAGCCAGCGCGTTGTCTAGCTTTGACGCAGTTGGTTTGGCCCCTTGTAACCCGCATATTCACGGAGTCTCTGAGTGGTGAAAGAGAAACTCCAGTTAGCCAGATTCTAACCACTCTTTCTGCAGACCTTCTACTTCCAACTCTTCTTCGACTCACGGCTCACTCAGCTGCCTTTGCAGATTCCTCCAATTTAATCCTCTGTAGATTAACTGGCGATGTATTTCGATGCCTTCAGAATGATAGGATTCTCTGTCCATCTGCTTTTCTCAAGGAGAATAGCAAGCACCATTTTGTACTCTCCGATTCTTGTCTTCTTCGAATCGCTCTTCAAAATCAAACAACTTCGACTAATTCTTGGTGCAATGTCCCTCCTTCCACGGCTTTCAGTCTCGTCTCTTCTTACCTGGATCTTGCTCTTCAATTACTTTCTGCAGAAAAGGCAGCATTTTTTGCCGACACGGAGTCCTATTTCGTTGGGGGTGAGGAAGAGGAGGGTTTAAAAGTAGTCGGGGCAGGGCATAGTCCTCTTCTTGCCTGTCTTGTCTTTTGCTATCAATTTCTTGTGGAGGCGGGGGGTAGTTCGTTGAGGGGATTCAACATTATCCCGCGATTGGCTTCTGGAGCACCGTGTCCTAAAACGGGAATGCTTGATTTAGGTAAGTCTATCCAACGCAATTATTATCTTATTAGTGAAAGGTCATTGTTTAGATTTAAGTGACTTAGTTTTCATCAATTTCCCATTTAATTTCAAAAAAGAAGTTTTGCATAACTTTTATTCAACATGCATATGCTATATTTGTTCAAAGAGGTAGTTTACAAATGTAAATTGAAAGAGTTTCGCTTTAGATGAAACATGCGTTGAGGTGATTTATAAATAAAGTAGAGAGATTTCATCCTTGAAATCAATGTTTTAATTGGACTGTAGTTAAGATGGGTACCGCTTTGCCTCTAAGGTCTGCTTGACTTAAACAATTGAGGTTGACAAGTTTATTGGTAGTTGAGCGGGACTAACATTTAAGTGAATGAAATATTTATTTTAACGGAAAAGTGCTATTATTTATATTCTTCGGCCAGGTAGAATATGGCGATGTGTACTTTAACTGAAATATCTTAATTTGAGATGATTAAGAGTTATTTTTATTTGTCATTTTTTAGTTAACAAGGCCCTGCTTTTCTTCGTTGAGCTCTTAACTTCCTTCTCGTTGGACGGCTCCAACGATGATTGCGTCTCTGTAGCTGAAATTTCCCCACCGTCGTTTGATTTACCAATTCTCCATTATCGCGATCTTCGATCATATGCATACTGGCTACTCAGCAACTCTGAACCCTTCCTCAACTGTCTCGTTAGTCTCACGAAGGTTTCTGTTGACGCCCTCCAAATACCCCTTCAATCGATGGATTTTGAGTATGCTTATGCCTTCACTTTAATTCTGTACTTTTCACTTGTTAGGAAGCATATCTTTGTTATGTGGTGGGAAATACGCGCTGAGTGAATCACTTCTTAACTTTTAGTCAATTATATCTATTTGACCAGAGCCCCATAGCCAGACATTAGTTACCTGAATATTGCAGGTGAATATTTATAAACCGCCGATGTAGGATAGCGAACGTTTACTATCTTCCTTCCTAGCCCAAGTTTAAATCTAAAAAGGCATGCATTGTGGTTGAGTCTTCACATTGGAAAGAATGCAGAAGAGGTGTAAGTCACTTAACAAATTCTAAGGGGTGAATTCATGTCACTCATCTGTCACTTACAAAATTACAACCTCTATGACCCCAATAAGATGGGGGGGGGGGGAGAAACCTGTGCCTCAAGCGACGATCTTTCCACGAAGAAAGCAAGTGAAATAGGAAAATTGAAAACTAGGGAGAAAATAATTGGATGTTTGATTATTTCTACTTCGCTGGAATAGTTCCGAGGACAAATACTGGAGTCTAATTTGGAGTAGATGTTGTCCAAGGCGTTATCCTTATGGCTAATCTCAATCTTCTGCAATAACATAAAGGAAGGTGGGTAGGTTATTTGGGTACTTGGAGGTCAGTCTACCCATGAGAATATGGGACTTTTGGCACACGACCGATGAAGTACATCTATCAGACAAGTCAACCACTATTGAACATGGAAGATCTTTGGGAATACTTAGCCTTAAATCAGGTTGTTTTGGATTTGCCGTGAAATGCCTCTTTCATCCTAAATCAGTTCGCACTTAATCCTTTTTCAAACTCCTCTATTTAGTTTCCTGCGTTTTTCGACGCGTGCAGATGAGGACCAAATCGGTGGTGTATCTGCATTGGGTCAACATCGTGTTCAATCAACTTGGTTAGCCATCACACTTCTTCACAGTCTTTTCCCCAGTCCATCTACCACTTCCTCTTCAGACAGTCATTTCACAACGTTCCTCAAGACCTTGTCTACAAATGATGCAATTTCCAATCCCTACTTTCTTCATCTCCTCAACTTCCTTGATCCCGCATGTACGGTGGGGTTGACTAGGGCTACTGTTAGCCTTCTGAAGAAACTCACTTGCGTACGTGAAGGCGTTTTCATTGTTACTTTTCCTTACTTGGTATTATGTTAAGTAATGTGTAAATTTTGACGAAATTATGCAAATATTCACATTCAGCTACTTGTGATATACTTCATAGTTCTGATCCAAATTTCTCTAGTACTGGGCTTCATGGCAGATGTTAATGTTTAAAGGAAGTAGATAGGATGGAAAACTTGATTGATCAAATAGCTTTCTATGTTCCTACTTACAATGGTGAGTAGTATTTCCATCTACACTTTTAATCTTGTTCAATTTTTCTACTTACCTAAACACTGCGAGAATTATAGTGGTGGAAAAGGTTTGAGCATGCAAAGACATGAACTTAAGAGGTTTGATCTGTTGCCCAAACACTCGAGTGGGACATTCATCTTAACTCAGACTTCCTATATTTATTTTTGCCTCTAACAGTTCTCGGATCGTTTCATCACTTCTCACCTCCATGACATGCAACCGCGTCTGCTCACATTCCTCACGGATCGCCTTCGTTCAACCTTTTCTGATCAAATCACCCGAACCGCTCTCATTGACTGGCTTGCAGACATAGTCATGCAGGATGTCCTCTCTGGGATGGCTTGTGCTCCTTTCAACGGACCCGGATTCAGTCTCCTTCGAATGATTTCCTCCTTGCCCTCTTCCACCTGTGTAGCTAATTCCTCAGCCAGCGGTTTGAATGTCGACGGTCTTCAGGGTATTCTTAGGGAGGCATTGAAAGAGACCAAGGCGGTATGTTATTCCCACTTTATTCCATGATCTCAATAAATTCTTCATCTAGTAAGTAAGTATTACACAAAGAAGTCAATTCTATGGATGCATTTATAGCAAACTGAGAAAGCACCAAGTCGCTAATTCATTGGACTAATTGTATAGTATCCTTAGTTTTCCATCTACTTAAAACTCTACTTAACGGGTACTCAAAAGCAGTCAAAAGAGTTCTCTGACTTTAAAGCTCTCTCTCAGCGTATCGACGAAGAAAAAATGGCTTGAGGGGTCGAGATTGGCCACAATTTTCCAATACATTTGGACATAGCAAGCAAGCGTTTACGATAATGTAAGTGATAAAGAGTGAAACCTAAATTTTAAAAATGTGAATTGCCTAGCGAGTTAATATTGCACAACTTTATTCACAAAACTAAATTGATCTCCTACCCTTTGGCATTTGGTGGATTTTCTGCTGTCCGATTTTAGTTGCTCTCACCATTAAATCTTGTAGTACTCCAGCTTTGCTGTGGGTATTAATAGTGACGATTATTTATATCATATGGCAGGCTTTATGATAGTTTTCACTAACCATTCAGTTGACTTCGAGCTTCACAGAAGAGGCGGGAGGAGGGGGGTGGGGCTATCAAAGTCACAAAAAGTCGAGTGGGGGGAGAGGTGAACAGATGAATGATTCACAGATGTAACAGACAGACACAAAAGTAGCGAAAATAGGTAAGGTGAGGTGATTATTGTGGTAGTTTGAAGTCAGAAGTCAACTCCCGGTTTATATCCTTTTTTTACCGTCAGAGCATACGTTACTCAGGGTCCACCAAATGGAGGTAAGTCTATCACACCCACCCCCCTTCGAAATTACTTGAACAGAAACTGATGATCACATCGGTATGTATTGGCGTTGAATAATGGCACTGCGTTAACATTGCAGTAATTGCTGACATTTTTAGGCCCTTCTTATCATGGACAATACTTCGATTGGTTTGCAATGGATATTATAACCGTTTTTTGATCTTTTTTTCCAATATTTCTCCTCGAATTAATTTTTGCAAAATTTTATTGGTCCGAAACTTAGTTTTTTGGGTGGCTCCTTTCACTAAATGTAATAAACATTGTCCACATGTGTTTATCAGTCCGTTTGCCCTTTAGCACACTTCACCCTCCTATTTCAGTTAAGTCCTACTCACATCACCGTCTGAGTTGTTTTGTTTTTTTTTTGTAAAGAGCAGTAGCCTGTGATAGCGCTCGAGTAACCCCCTACTCTGGGCATTAAGCTTGAAGTGATATTCCGGTGTTCTATGTTTATTGGTTTGAATTAGCTTTCTCCTCCGGCCTCGCAATGCGTCGATTTTATCATCTTCTCACTCCATCTCAGATGCCACTTTGGATCCTAGGTATATGTCTTTGTCGTCTAATGGGAATGAGGGGGGGGGGTTTCTTTCATATCTTGACTGCTTTTACTCCTCAATTTTTTTTCAACCATGTTCTAAATCGATCGCTGATTTATGTTTTTATGTTTAGTCATTCCGTTTATTTTCAACGAACTCTTATTTGTCTACTTCCATTTTAGAACGAAGATGACCCTCTTTCAGTGAATCTATACTGGTCTTTGCTAAAATTAACCGCCGCAATTTGGATGCAACCTAATAATCTCTTCCGCCATCAGATTCGTGAAAAGTAACCCCTTACCCTTTAATGCTGTAACTTTCCACATTTCTTATAGCACTGATTTTTGGAAACTTCTGAGTGATCCTTTCTCAAGTCATATGTCTACAATGAAGAAAACAAAGGTATGCTGGGCATTTGAAATCTCAATCATTCCTTGTCTAGCTTTTGCCTTCGGTTGTGGATCTAGAAATTGCTGGAAACTATGCTACTGTCGTTGCCATTGAACTTTTCGAATTTCTCAAGTAAGTTGGTCAGTCCAAAAGTGTTACCTAATATTTCTTACGTAGGCTGTTGTTCGTGATGCTTAAATCGACTTACCACCTACATTGCTCAGGTCTTTCAGAAAATTATTTTTTCCCTGTAGATCCACCCAAAATCTGGATGATGGCTTCACTGAATTCGTTAAGAAATTTTCAGGAGATGTCCTCGTGCCTTGGTTGCAAGTAAGCTATTAGTCTGTCAAATTATCTTTCAATGTTTCTTCCAATTCTTCTAACCTTGTCACACTAAATGTCATGTGTGCTCTTTACAATTTTGCCATTTGCAGATCGCATTCCAACTGCCTGTTGGCTCTGAATCCTCCTTCAGTGATTTCAGCAAGTCTCCAACGATGGATGCATTAGAATGGGCTGTGATTCGTTGGAAGAGCGTCTTCTGCACTCTTCTAAAGTGTAACGCCTCCACGACAGATGAAAAAATGTACCTCATCTCTCGTTCTCAAATAGTTGATCTGATTGATGCTTGTTTAGACAAAGCTGCTTTGTTGGTAAGGCTTTATTGTTTTCTTTGAAACAAAGATTTTTTCTAAATTTAAAAGCTTAAGTGAAAATAGTAAAAAATGTGTTTTAAAGTTTTCAGAATTTATAATACATCACCCCTTACCTATGTTCGGTCTTTCATAGTAGACTTATTCTATCTCATTAGAAAAGATATGTACAATTTTCTCCATTTTAGATGTCTGTGCCTCAAAGTCGCTCGGTTGTGTCAATTATCGATCAGTTATCAGTATTCCTGTCTGCCGCTGCTGGCTTTCTTATCAGGTGCTTGAAAGAACTTTATTCCTGCTTTATCTTTCGTTTTAGAGGTTTTTCTAATCGAATTACTTTCTTACCAACTGAGACCAATTTTTTTTGTATAAAATTGCTAGCTCTCATAACATTCAGTTGTTTGAGCTCGCATCGATTTTCCCCAATGGTTGGAACTGCATCGTCTTCGGCTGTCGATTGCTTAAGTTCTATATTATCATTGTTAGTCATGGCGAGACAAGATAGACAATTTGTGCAAATTTTAATCGTGTCGTAGTAACTGAGACCACGTAATTGAGAAGTCGTTTAAACGGTGGAAAACGTGTCATCGAGCGTTGCACATTTTCGGAGCTTTTTGGCCAGTTGGTTCGATTGAATAGTTGATCTTGTCACTTTGTTCAGATAGATGAGACTATCAAAGACACACATTGGTATAGATGACTACCAACGTTTCCAATTTAATGCCAATCTTATAATTTTGCAGCTCATCTGATTCATCAACACTCCCACTCTTCGAATGGGTTCACAGATGTGTTGGCTTGTTGGAACACCGAGCAAGTTCATCGCCCTCCAAACACCAACAGCCATCTACCACAACGAAGTTCTCTCATTATCACGCTGATCTTTTCGCATTTATCGCTTTGTTTTTCCCTAAAGTGTCATCTCAAGACTTGCCTGCTGGTCTCTTCGAACGACTCCTAAATTTATGCTTGGAGGTCTTCCAAGATGTTTCCCTCTCTCCCCGTATCACGACCATCGATTCACAGGTTGGTATTTCCCTTTTGAGTCCAGTCCCAGATCTCTCTAATTCCAGTAGCATCTGAAACACGTTTTCGTTATTCAGGCCTTCATACAAGCAATGAATGTGATCCAGTTAATCTGGGGCAACTTCGATGCGGTTAAACTCGCAAACTGTCTAATCGATGCTGGAATAGTCAATAACTTGATCGTTATCTTGGCTCAGAATTCTACGGTATTATTGCGATATACTACTAATAATAAATTAGTAGCATTCGGTAGTTAAAAAATGATTTCGTTGTTTTTTCTTTGCATTACTTCAGACGTTCCAGGGAGCAGAGTTCTGCCAAGCAATCATTCGATTTCTCACAAGATTCATGCTACCTGTTGAGACCAAGAGTCTTTATCCCGACTTGTCTGCCGAATTTGGTATCAAAAAACAGTGGTCAGAACAAAGTATTGCCTCCCATTCTCCCCTTCCTCAAATGTTGCTGTGCTACGCGTTAGATCTCGTTCAAGCGCTCAAACTTCCTCCAACCAGCCAAATGATGCAGTGGTTGGCACAAGCGGATGAGTATAGTTCTAATTCGGTAGGTAGCTAAATCGAATTTCTTCACTTATGGTGTTTTTAGTGAATGTTTAGCTTTCACTAGTATATTCATAATGCCAACGAATACACGCCAACGAGCAAAGCGAGTGTCTAACTTTGGGGCTTTTCTTTTGGATATTGGTCGTGAAATTGATCCACGGTCGTCAGAATTTTCTCTTTCGTTAATTGAAATCCACAGACTGATATTTATGCCAAATGCCCCACGAAAATAAATTAACGCAACTCTCACAATCGACATTCTACCTGACGACAGTTTAACCCTTTTTGCTCCACTTAAAGTATAAAGGAAGGACTTTCAAACTCCCCACCCCACCCCATATAAGAGTGTCATCTCCGGTAATTGTTTTATCCAAATTGACAGCAAGCATTGTAGTTTCCCGTTTAGCCATTTTCATGGGACTGGTTTTTACCTCCTTGAAGAACTGATGATCGGTTGTGCTTTATTGTTTAAGACCATCTTGGCGTCTCTGTGAGACTACCTCTAATATAATTAGATCGCTGCTTCGGATTATGTGATGGACGTATAATTTCCACAGTACTTTATTATAATGAGATTTTACTCTTAAATGGATTTATTTTTTATTTTACGTCTTTTACTGATTATCTCATTAAATGTTCCTTTCGTCTTCAAGGAGACATGGCAAGACCATCTCTACCCGAATACCTCATGGAGTGAATTCATTCTCTCCCAACTGCGTTTCTTCTCCCTCTTGGTTGCCTGTGAAGGTTGTTCCGGTGAGAGGACACCAGTTGCCAACCTCCTCTCCTCCTTCATTTTGGCCAATCACGAACAACTTTGTGCTCTCCTGACCCCCGCTCCTGCAAAGGGATTACTCATCGCCTCAGCTGTGCTTGATCTCTATTGGACTGCCATGCACTCATCAAAAGCTGTAACTAAGCTGGCTACGCCTACTTGTGTTGCATCGGCAGCTTTATTTAGTGGGGGTAGACGGAACACTGTGTCATTGGTAAGTCAATTTATCGACTGCCTATAAATGTTGCTCTTACTAATAATTTATAATTTTGGATAAATAATGGAAAGATTAATCCATAAAATTTCGCCTTTCTTACCTTCTTACCTGTTTTGTTGTTCTTTTCTTACACTTTCCGATAAATATTTCGAAAGAGCTCACCGTAAATTTAATGTCCGTATTGAGAGTGTTGTATTTAACCATCCTCTTCCCCTATAAGACGAAAACAACCCGAAAATTTTTCGTTTGAAAAACCCTTTTTAATTGCTACCTCTGTGGAACAGTTGTCCAGCTGTGGTAGTGCAAAAGTATTCTTCTTTTCTGTAAATATCCTTATTTTCACATTTCACTCGAGTTCCCTTTCAAGCAACGATTTTACACTTTGAAAAGACGAACATTTCCATCGACTGTGTCAGATTCCTTACTAGTAGAGAGTGCAAATTCTTCTCCTTTAAAGAGTAGTTGCGGGATTTTCCAGAAGAATCCACATATTGCTCTTTTGAAATAGGTCTGTTTCATCAGACACCCTCAGTACTCTTGCATCATGAAATTTTTTTAACTTTGTCGGAGTATTGCAATCTGCCAATTTTTCGAATCTATTGCTGTCCGTTACTAGAGGCAAAAGAAGGGAATTATTTTTGCGATCCTGCTACTTTCAGCAAGTTATGAAAGATTGAACACCTTTCATTACAATCTAACATAGGGAGCCGAGTGCCTAGAATCTTTTTATTTTGAAAAGAGGTAATTAATAAATGAGTTACTACTCTGTGAGCTATCTGAACCCAGTATAAGCTAGATAATTGCTCGAAACGAAATTGGTAAACCGATGCATGTGCAAAAGCATAGACGAATTTGTGATCGCTATTGGTCAAGCAACGCTAAATGTGTCGTTCGAGTACAATGTCGGAATTCTGAACGGTTTATTGATTGAAATTCGGCTCTACTAATAGCCCAAAACAATTAGTTTTAAGTCCGATACAAGTGCATGAAATTTAATGAAATGTGGACATTTTTAGGACAGACATCTGCAATCATCTCGGATTTACGAATAGTTTACTCCGTCCACAGTGGTTCCATCGCATTTAAAACGCATAAATTAAGGCCCTCTCATATATTTATGATTCATCAGCTTTCCTTGAACTGGGCAAAGTGGGCTGCTGCAAACGCTTCTATTTTCTCCAAAGCTCTCCTTTACCTTTTTTGTTAGAATAGGACTTTACGCATCAAAGAATCATTGCATCTCGTTTCCACACACTCTCCCCTCGAACCACAAGTTAGTAAGAGCCGTTTACCAACAATTGCATTTACAGGTTCTTTAATTCCAATTGAAAAGTGAATCGGCAGTGTTTGATCAAACCTAGCCGCATCTGTCATCAAAATCTGCGCACTTTTTCCAAAGCCCCTCAAGTGTTTGTGTACTTTCGGTACAGTCTGGACTCTGAATGGAAAGCTATTTCGCCAGTACTTTCATATATCCCTCAGTTCATACATGCTTTTTGGATTTTTGGTTACCATTCGTTATTTCTTTCTTTTTGCTGTTACTCAATGCATCTGCTTTTGAAAAGAATCTTCATCTTGGTTTTTTAAAAGGCGTTATCCCCCTCCCCCCCCCCCCCCCCCCCCCCCCCCCTCCTCGCCACCACCCGAAATATCAGATTCGCTTCCTCTTATTAGCTTTATCTGTTTCGTTATGCTTCTAATCTTTGTGTTAAGGGTGTTTTTCAACCTTTTAGCCGGACGGTGTTTCAATCTGTTTGCCAAGCGACATTTGGAGTGGGGTCTACTCTGCTTCCATTCACCTTGCTCGGACCTGCTCAATACTTCTTCTCCGACCCGAGATAGTCGATATCCCGAAGGTGACCTCATCTCCCTCCGGCTCCACCTTAAAACCTTCTCCTGAGCTGACAAAGGCTTCCACAAAACTCTCCATCAGTCTGAAACTCCTTCCAATAATTCGGCTTCTCAACAGCTGCCTTCGGGTCATTACTGTTGAGACACCAATCTTAGGCGATTTATCGTTGGCGTCGGCTTCGGAAATTGCTGCACTTACTCCATCTGCAACACTCAACTTTGCTACTCCGTCTACAGAACCTTCTAATACGCTGACCTTCGGGTTGCTCTTCTCTATCGCTCGGATTTCTAGTCAACTTCTTGTTAATGCAAGTTGAATAGAATGTATTCGAAAGCTGTTCTTGATTAAAATAATCTCTATTCAATCTTCGCTTAATTTTTTTTAGATTAGCAATTCAAAAACTGCGTCGGAAGATCATCTTGGCCGACGTCGTTCTGAAATATTGTAAGTTGATGCTTTCTTAATCTCTAAGACCAACTGGGAATCTTTTGATTAACTTGTGAAGCGAAATTAGAATTATGAGGCACGGAAAAGTCAGTCATGAATTGGTGTTGCAGCTTTCAATATGTGCTTGTAGAAGGTATGATATCAGATTTGATTCCTGTACAGCTTATCAACCGTTTCTGTCGATAAGAGTACAGTTAAGAGGAGCTCCAGCGCGCGACTTCACCGTTTATAATGAATATTAGAGTATCTATTTTTCCTATTTGTCTTCCAGTTCATGAAATCGCCAATGTGGTTACTGTTCACCTAATTTAATGGTTCTCAGAAGAAATGAAACATAACTGTGCCGATACCACTTAATTTGTAATGCTATTACATGAAGAGAAGAATTGGTTCTCCTATTTACTTCATAGTAATAGTACGTTCCGTTAGTGACTGACCTTTATGTAGCTAACTTATAAGAACTTCTTTCTCGATGCTGCATTCTTATCTTCTTTCTATCATTCCAGATCTGTTTTAGTGGAAGTTAATGAATTGGCCTTTTCACTCATCTTCTCTCAAGCAGTCATTTGGCTGATGAATCCACGCATTGACACATCCGAGAAGCACACTCTTTCCAGAGGCTTGGCAGTGGAATTCGTAAGTTCTATCACTGCTTTCGATTATGCTTATGTTGCCTCCTGATCTAAACTGCCTACACTTGGATTTCAGCAATCCTACAACTTCCTGAGTCGGTCATCTCGTAGGGGAAGGAAGTCAATTGGAGGTCAAACACCAATTAGAGGGGGAATCAGTTCATCACCTTGTAAGCGTAGTTTCGTCGATGTTTCCAATACAGTTGGGGAATCTTCTCTCCAAGAGCTTTTCACATTCATTGAATGTGCTGAACGCTTTTCTGAACTTGTAAAGTAACGATCTCCCTTGTTTCTGGGTGTCTTCTGCTTCTCCCCTCCCCCTTTTTTGTATGTGTGCTTGTGTTATTACCCACGAATAAACAAGCTGTGTCAATATTTGTTACAGTCCTTGTTCAGTTGCGACTTGTTGAGAATTTCCCCTCCCAATGTTGCGCTGTTTGTCGAATAACTTTAAACTTTTACTGTGAGGGGAAAGCGACAAAATAATTTCTATGCTATTTACGCTTCATCCTGATTTGCTTGAAAGTAACAGCGATGTACGCCATTTCTCAGAAGTTTTGTAATATTTGCTGATATGAGAATGAGGCAAGAATTTCTCAGGCAAATGCGCTATAGCTCTAATTAGAACACCGATCTACAGGTTCAGACGTGTCTTCGGAGCTGCATCAGTAGCATACAACTGTCCGATCATTCTGTGCAAGGTCAGGATCAAGACAAGTTGCATCTCAAACTAAGTAACAATTTTCAGCCCTTCAGGTGGCAAATTTTGAAATAAGAGCTAACATAATATAATTGGACACCTGTTCAGATTATAGAAGCCTTACAATAGGCTTGTGGGGACTGGGTGCCATGTAGAGCAGCCATTTAGGCTTGATGTAAACGAATTCAAGAGGGAAGAGGGCAAGTTAATGGGGACGCATGAGGACAGAGATCCACCACATCAAGAAAACATCTCCCTTGTTCAGCACATAGTACAGGAACAAGATGGACAAGTAACCATTGAGGAAAGTGCTAATGAAGTAAGAATAGTACAAGGATCAGCATTTTCAATACTCACAGAAAGTCTTGGCTTGAGCAAGTTCTTGGTGGTTTCCAAAAGCGCTTCAGGAACAACAACTGATCCAAAAGAGCTGAACTTTCTTTGGCAAAGATGGAAGCAAATAAAGATAATTTGTTGAGTGCTATGTTGCCGGAAGTGAAACATGAATCTACCACTTTGATCCAGAAAATAAAATTCAATCAAACGAGTGGCATCCAAAGGGAACGCCTGGGCCTGCCAGGTTGAAAAGTCTATTAAGAATGTCGTGCCCACAATGTTTTTGGTTTCGAAAGGACCGATATTGATTGGCTTTCTTGAAGAATAGAAAACGATCACCTCAAGTTATTATGAAGGCGTTTTGAAGGAACTGAAGACATCCCTCTCCAAAATAACCCCGCGGTAAACTGCACAGTTGAATTTTTTCATCATGCACATTCTTCAAGAGTTGCCGAGGCTTTGCTGCCAAAATTTCGATGGGAAACCCTTCCACACCCACCTTGTAGTCCAGACAGAGCTCCCTCAGGATTTTCGGGTTACCGAAACCACAAGAACACCTCAAATGCATCCTATTTACGTCTTTAGATTGAGTGAAAAATGTTATTTCATGGTGCTAGAGTATTTGAAGGTGGAAATATAGATTAAAAATGGCACAGTCAATGCTGGAGCCACTGTAAAAAAGGGAGTAACCACTTGCTAAATAAGCAAATTACGGAATTTGTCCTGTCCTCGAATGTCAGTCATTAGATATGAGAGTGCACTACTCTTTGCCTCAATTCACTCTTAGCACTATGAGCTGTACTGTAATATACGTGTTTATATGAGTATTTAAAATATAGTTGGATACACGTATTGGCTTTGAAGCATTAGATGTTAAATCAGCCATTTTAACCAGGAAAAGCCCTTAACCCTAAATTGAGCTAATTGTTACTTACACGTGCTAACCTTGCCCACTATTCCAGATTCTTCATAGTAAATTTGAGTTGGCAGGGATATAAGGAGAGCTAGTCCATATTCCCAACATCGTTACCAAGATGACGCAATAACTAAGCAGAAGCGCTTCCAAATCGAAACTACCAGTTGTTAACGCAGTCGTTATCTACTACCCGGAAGTGACTTGAGAAGTGTCATTGGGACATCTCTCGAAGAAAACCTGACCACGACGGCAATGATGCCTGAGATCAAATGTTCGCAGGACTTCTTTTGTAATGTAGTCATTCGAACCATCGACAGTGAAGTCTGTTCAATCGTTAATCTAACTTCACATACATATTCGGACTGCATTCTTTACACCCGCCAAGATTTTAAACCCTCAAATTAAAGTACATAAGCATTATTCTGCATTTATTTGGCGTTTGGAATGAAATTTAAGTAATCTTGAAAATAAAAGCGGTAAGAGAAATAAAGAAAGTAACGATATCTTCTGGTGACATGATAAAGAAAGCATAAATATATTTCTCATTGGGAATAAAAAGTTTCAATGATCAAGTACATGTTCAGTATTTCATGACCTACTAGAAAGACTTTGATGGTGTTAGCCTAAATGTGGAATCTAATGGCAATTCAACGCATTCCTTGAGCACGGCTTTGTAAACACCGTCGAAACCTTCGGAGAGAGTCAAGGGCGCACCCGAGACGAGGGTGAATTTAATCTTCCTCGAAAATCCATCCAAGGCAATGTCGATTCGGCGTCCGGCGAAGGCTAGCCCATAGACTTGGAGGCTTGTGCATATGGACCTCTCCTCAGCACAATGAGTTCTCTGGGAAAATTGACCAATCATCTTTGGAGAAATGGTGAGAACGGGTTCAAGTTGTCCATTTCCTGCGTACTGAGTGGTCACTCGAATTCCCACAAGACCATTCGTTATAGCTTGCAGGAAACCGCCCAAACCGGTTACAAAGTTTTTAGCCCCCACCTCGTCCAACTGCTCTGACCAAACCTATTTCAACAGAAGCCACAGATTTATTGGTGATCCAAATCGACTGCGATACTATTATTTACGTGCATGTTTCCGTCATTAGCTTTGGCCATGTCACCTCATCTCAATCTAGTTGGGCTATCTGTTAATTTTTTTGCATTAGAAAACTCCTAAAGCATCGGTACTTCGTATACCAATTTAATAAGACATATTGAGTTAGTCGATCGTTTACGAAAGTAAGAAGAATGTGGCTGGGCATTGCGTGCCTAGTCTCGCCTAAGTTTTACACTTAGCGAGGTCTATGCACTACTCAGAATGAGAATTTCATAAAATTATTGGTTACACACAGACGCCTATCAGCCCAAACAAAATGCAACTACATATGGGCTTGAAAATCTTGACAACTTGGCTTGACAAGCTCCTTCCATCGGCACATTCTTGAAGTGGCTGCAGTTTTGACTCACCAGTTGTCTGATGATGTGTCTAGGGGGAGCATGGATATTAGCTACACAAACTATACTTCCTCCCAGATGTACAACAGCGTAGAAGAGTCATTACCTTATGAAGGGATGCTAACAAATAGCGATTTTAATATAAAAAAAGCAAACAAATGAACCACTTACGTAAAAAGGTGGTTTACAGTAGAGAAGACACCGATCAAAGTAGCCAAACGCGCTTTCCATTAACTAAAAAAAGCACGAATAAGTTAGCAGACATATTGCACAATCGACACTCTTAAATAACAGAAAAGTCCAAAATCTGAAAAAAGTACCCCGACTTCCAAGGCGCTTATAAAGAACATAGCCCAAGTCATAGCTGGTCCACGATCCGAAGTAACCTAAAATGGAGGGGGAGGGAAATAGTCTCCGATCAGAAATTGAATCATTGAAGTTTCGCAATAAATAGTATGTACTTTATTCATAAGTCAATCCGGTATAGAATGCAACTTACAGCGGCATACTTCTCGATCATTTTGATCTTGGCTTCTCTTGACTGCTCATACATGAGGGGATAACTGAGTAAAACAGTATCTGCTTGTTTCACAATAGTACCTAAATGGAGAAATTATCACTGTGAGGGTAAGTTTTTGTTTAAGGTGAAATGGAACTTGAATATATACCCTACATGACTTCAGATTTAATCCTATGAATTAAACAAGAAGTCAATAGCACTAACCACTTTTATAGCCTTCATACTCCAGCATAACGCCATCTTCCTCATCAAATGGCATCCAAATCTGGGTGGAGAGACGCTCCCAATCGCCCTGTTGAGAAGAGACATTTTGACCAAACAATCGAGAGATGACAGCTGGACCAGACAAAGCCAGTGATGCAGCGGCGTTGGTGTAAGCCGAATTGTCACAACTATGGCAGTATTCGTCCGGAGGCATAACGCCTAAAAGGGAGGGAGGTGGAGGGAAACGATAGTTTTAGCGAACTGCTGCAACTGGATTTCAACAAAATGGACTAATTTCTCCTACCTGTGATAACGTAAGCATTCCTCTCTTCTGAATATTCAAGTCTTGAGGCCCAGAAGGCAGCAATGGATTTGAGAATACTTCGACCTTTGCTCACGTACCAGGCATATCCATTTGAAGTGACGTTGAGACAGAGCCAATTCTGAATAGCGATGGAGACATTAGCGGTGACATGGATCTCTAGATTTGCGGACAGATCCCAAGGGCTTGTCTCTAGACCTGCAATTTTCAAATTCAAATTAAATAGAGAGTAAATATTAGTTATACAGACGACTTAGTGGACGACTTGCCAGTTCTAGCGCTTTCCCAGGCAAATCGCGCCCCACGATAACCTTCACGCTTAGCACGTAGTTTTGCGTTGTGGAGGGTTGCGTAACGATAATTCAGAGCCAGTTGGGAGAGAGATGGATGGAACAAATTCAACCACGGCAGCATCCAGATATCCATGTCCCAGAATGTATGACCCTATTATAAACAATATTAAGTTGTTGAAACGTTGGTAGTAAAGAGAATGAACTTGCCCGCAATTACCCCACAGCAGAACATTTGCATTTGAAAAAAACATGAGTGAATAGCTATTCATGAATACGCAGACTCTCGGTACAACTTTTTCGACTTATGCACACGACTTGACCTCTGCCTGAAATATATGTGGCTGTATCCCAATGAAATAGAGCAACCTTTCCCAAGTCAGAGGACCAGGATTCGAGCAAGACCCTAGGTGTACTGTACGCTAGCAAGAAATGTGGAAAAGAATTAGGAATTGGGAGAAGAAGAAGAAGACTAAATTGCAACCCACTGAGAAGTAAAGTTGAGTAGTATGCTCCCTGCATCGTTACTCGATAAAAATTAAGACAATCCAGACATGCGCATTCAATAGAATGATGTGAACTTAAAAAATAGTAATCGCAAAAAAAAATTTAAATTCATTGTGTCTCGTAAAGTTGTATGTCCCAAAACAGAACACCAATTTCCCTTAAATACTAGTCTCAAGAGAAGAGATTGGCGTTGCCAACAAGTTTGTTTTAAACCGTGAGGATCAATTTCAGGCATTTAATTTCTTTCCACGTGGGACGAGTTGGAATGAGGGGGGGGGGGGAGAGAGACACAAAATATTCGCTTCTGGAAATTGATAATTAACTTAATATCTACTGGGTGGGCAACTAAGTCATTGCCGTTTTTGTTGACAGATTCACTCTATACTTTCTTTTGTTTTGTTAACGTGGCCAGAGCATCTAACCTATATTTTTTTCTTACTCTATGGGCTTCTAGGTTAATTTGTAAAAAATTTTTTTGTTTAGGTCTTTAGTTTTGTTTTTATCCCAATTTAAAAATGAAAGTACAGGACGTGCACTTCCGACACATTTTATTGTATTACTTCCCAAAAGGCAAGAACGCATCGCAAGCACAAAAGAAGTTATGTGCCGTATATGGAGATGAAGCCGTGAGGAAGAAAGGCAGTGTCGAAATTGGTTTGAAAGATTTCGTTGCGGTGATTTTTCACTGAAAAATTCACAACGATCTGGCTCCCCAGTCGAAGTGGATGAAACCCATATCAAGGCCATTATCGATTCAAATCGTCACAGCACAACACGAGATATTGCAGAGAAGCTCAATGTGTCGCATACATGCATTGAAAAAAAATTGAAATAACCCTTGGTTATGTCAAGAAACTTGATTTATGGATCCCTCACCAATTAAAGGAAATTCATTTGACGCAACGGATTAGCATCTGTGATCGCCGCTACTGAAACGCAATGAGAATGATCCATTTCCGAGGAAGAACCTAGTTACTGGCGACGAAAAGTGGATAGTTTATAACAATGTTACTCGGAAGAGATCATGGGTGAAGCAAGATCAACCAGCCCAAACAGTATCAAAAGCAGAGATTCACCAAAAAAAGATTATGCTGTGAGTCTGGTGGGATCACAAAGGAATTTTGTATTTTGAACTCATGCCGCAGAACCAAACGATAAATTCAAATTTGTATGTTGAACAACTCGAAAAACCGAAGGATGGAATTGAAGATAAGCGGCCGGCATTATCAAATCGGAAGGGTGTTGTTTTCCATCATGATAACGCAAGGCCCCACACATCTTTGGTTACTCGACAAAAATTATTGGAACTGGGTTGGGATGTTTTGTCACACCCACCATATAGCCCTCACCTTGCGCCTTCGGATTACCATTTGTTTCGTTCCATGCAAAACTCTCTAAATGGTAAAATTTTTAACAACGTGGATGATGTCGGATCACACTTAATTCAGTTTTTTAATAGCAAAGACCAGACATTTTACGAACGAGGAATTTTTACGCTGCCAGAACGATGGAAAAAGGTCATTGACAAGAACGGCCAATATCTAATTGAATAAAGTTATATTTTTAAACAAAAATTCCAAATTTGACTTCTTATTTGAAATCGGCAATGACTTAGTTGCCAACCTAATAATAACCGCCTAAACACACACTAATACAAAGGCATGAGGAGAGGGGGGCTTAGTGCATACTTACTTTCCGATGCTATATGATAGCCATATGATTGTCAGGGCACTGCCAATCAACAAAACCTTACTGTTGTGTATGCTTTCGCGCATCTATAAATACTAAAATAATAGCTCCACAGCACCCTCCTCCCACACAATTTTAGTCCATTTCTCGTCATGTCTCTCTTCTCGATTGGACACAAACAGGTCTTCATAATAATTCAACTGACTACAGTTTCAATACATATAAACCCTAGAGAAATATTCTCCTGACCGGAGTGTGAAATGGACCTAACTCCACGTGAAGCACCATGAGCAACATATACTCATACGCAAAAAGTCTATTAACCGGCAGTTGGCATTTGATCACAAAATACCATGACTCAGCTGTATGTCATATTCGACCACTACCATAGTACTCACCCTACCTTTTTTTCTTTAACTTTATGCCTGTCTCTTGTACATCTGTGAGCCACTTTTCTGATCCCCTCTCGAATTTTTGTGACTTTGTCGGTTCCTTCACTCTGTGAAGCCCGAAGTCCACCAAAAGGCTAATGATAACTACCATAAAGCCTGCCATTTGATTTAAATCTTCTCCAGACCTGACTTTGACGTTTCTAGAACGAATCTATTCGACTCTCGTCTGGCAACTCTTACAATCAGGTCTATCCACCAGTGCCTCTCTATCTTTTAGAGTCAGAAAAGTCTCATTAAAGTACTTCCATTAATAACCCATTTGTCTTCCTATCCTCTATAATATATGATCAATAGCGCACCAGCAGATACTCTACTTATTGAAAATCACCAATCAAACATGACTGATAGAACTTCACGAATGAGCTCATGAATGCCTCTTAGTCAATACGGTTCTACCAATGAAAAAAATACACCCATTCCTGAAATATACGGGCCACTTTTTGTAAAGCTTCAATAATACGAAGGAAAGCGAAACTAAATCTAATCGGAAAAACCCTTATAAATTAAAACCACCTTACTATAAGACCTACCAAGAAACAACATCCATTCTATGATCGGAAAGCCAATATGGAAGCACTTGCCGGCATAATAACCAATGAGATATTAGGACTGCAGATACACCCAATTACTAGCACATGCTGTTTGCGATGGGAGGAGGCACTGTGGGAAGGAAGTTATTTCCTTTTACTCCCAGAGCCTTTCAAGACATCTGTTCGTTAGTGAAAACTTTGCTTCACTAGTTTTGCAGGAAAACCCATGAGGATCGTCATTGCAGTCAACTTGGGCACTCTTCAAGAGCACAAGCAATAGATGTGAAAAACCTGTATTTTGAGTTGATTGGAATTTGTCCACTGCAGAAAATTTGGAATAGCAAATTTCTAAAAGTCAATAACTTTAAAGATGGCACACAATTTGTACAGTAGAATGTATTGAAAAGAGAGTTATGGCAGGTTATGTGATATGTCGGTATTCATCTCCAGCTTTGATTCACTTCTGACAAGTTCTCTTAACTTTGTCAGTCTCGAATTTGCGAACACACCCACAGTAGCACAGAGGGGTGGTTCCATTGTCAATTTCTTCTCCATACAACTTAGCCATGAAAATCCTACCAATTTAAAAATACTTCGAGAATAGCAAGGATCCTGCCACATAATTGCATTGTTAAGCCAAAAATATTAAAATTCAAAGATGCTTTAAATCTTCCAAGATGGAATTATTTTTTTTTTGCAAAAATTGCACCCGACCGCACTCACGCGTGTCACACAGCAGACTGATGCCGCCGACGCGATAAGATTTGGTGGTGTATCAGATGAAGGCTGTGGAGACGTATTGGACATGTTTCAAATGGCAATAGCGCCTTCTGTTACGAGACTAGTACCTCTGGAGCTTATTTTGAAAAAGTTCCGTGCGGTCCAAAGGGCGTTAAAGGGTTAAAAAATCAGTAGCGCCATTCAAGCATCTTCCTGAGGCGAATCTTGAAACGAATATTTTTTTACATTTAACAGCTACCAGGATGAGGCTTACGCATTGAATGCAATAACACAGGATTACTGCTGATGACCCTTTCATAATTTCTGATTTCAAACTAAGAACAAATCAAATAGAACCGAAAGCATTCAAATATCACAATCCAAGAAGGCTTTAAAGGTGAAGGCGCACCAAACCCAAAATAGCCAATTCCTACTATTCCTACCAAATGTTTAGTTAAAATTTCCATATCTCTCCCCCCNCCCCCCCCCCCCACCCCCCAACTAGTGTCGTCGATATTTTTTGTTTTGATTACGCATATAAACCTCCACATAGTGGTGCAATAGTGAAACTAGTGAAGCAGAAAATTGGCAGCCTCCTATGATCTTTTCGCCCTCCCAAATCCAACTGCTCGTAAAATGATTGGTCCATTGATCTGCCACTTCAGTTTCTCAATTTGGTTACACCATAGGCCCCGCCTTAGTTGCTCGTAACAATTACATCACATCACACCACACCCGAAGATACTTTGTGAATTGAGATGAAGAATTTGACTTCTTAAAAGCATTAGACGCCACTTTATAAAACGAGAAGAATAAATGAAATTCAGATATGAGGAATTTTATGTCTAAAATTAATTTGTATGCAAACCACTTGATACGTGGTGAATGATTGATTGATTTGAGTGATTAGTCAATAAATGGCGTGATGGTGATTTCAGCGTGGGTATGTAGACCCAAATTAACCAGTGAGTTTCCCTCGAGTGAACCTGAAACATTCGATTCAGCTAATCAACACTTCCATGGATCTCAAAGTCATAATATGCTTAGAGATTTGGAGGTTACTCACAGAAATAAATCTGAAGCCCGTTAGAGTGCTTGGCTTTTAACATTCATCCTGGGTGGAGACTCGGCCGACGAATTTCGAACTAATAATCACCAAGTTTGCATACTTGAATAGCAATGCAGAGGCACAAATACGGAGACTTCTAATCTACTGACATATGACTTAGGCTCAAAATTTATTCATTTATCTTTGGTGAACTGATTAGCATGGCTTTCTTCGAAGGAACGGCTATGAAACAGCTTTTAGAAACAAACCCCATTCGAAACCATCCAATATTAACGCAAAACAACCTATTTATTAGGATATAGAAATGCTTACCATGTAATCATCCTCAGTATTTCCACGACCCAAACCTGAGGGGCAGACACCGAAAAATTCGCATTCCTTGGAATTCCTCGGACCATCCAGAGAAGGAATAATTAAACGATCTGGAAGGTATTCAGGGAAGTTTGAGAGGAGTGCATATTGAGCGGATATAAGACAGCGAGACAGGTGGAAGTCCCTGCCATCTGTGGAACCACTGCTCCAAATATTATCATCGATTTCTGAAGTATTCCCTTCCCGACGTTGTGGTGGCTGTGTCACAATCGTGATACGTGCCAGGGACCACCGATTCAACCAGGCCTCTGCGTTCTCCTCCAGCAGACCGTCCGGGTGGTCGGAGGTTTGAATTAGCATGGCTGTAAATATAGCACGCTTGAGTCATTTTCTCTGTCAAGAAAATAATAATCAATAACAGTGATATCATAAGTACTCTACTGATTTATCGATTTTAGTTTCCATCGTATATCTTTCACTTGTTTACCAATTTCACGGTAAAATTGCCAATTGAATGCAGAGCATATCTAGCATCAAAATTGATTTAGTAACGTAATAAAAAATAGATTGTAAACACTTTAAATAGTCCCTCAAGGTTATAATACGTTATTATTTGTGCAAAGATTAAAAAATCCCTAATCAAAGAAATCTAAGGCGGACCTTAATATAAACATTCAACCTGACAACATTGAGGAACGGTGAATTCTCAACTAAAACTAGACCTATTAGCCTATTAATTGACTAAACAAATGAATTATCGGAAATGGTAAAATATTTAGTACAAATTGAAGTTAAGATATCTTGTGGATCTTGCTGATTAAAAATGAAAATGGACTCAGAGATGCCTATTACGAGGCCAAAATGATGACTACTAAGAGCATCACTAAATGTCAAATAGACATCGGACTTATTTTTTTTTGAAAAATGCACCCAACCGCACTCACATGTGTCTCACACCAGACTGGTGCCGCCCACGTGATGAGTTTTAGTGGTATCAAGTGAAGGCTATGGAGACGTATCAAACATGTTTCAAACGGCAGTACCGCCTTCTGTGTTGCAAGTCTAGTACCAACGGCGCTCGGTTTGATGGAGGACCGTGCGATCATAAGAGCGTTAAATGGTTAAGGAATAAATATGTGCGACAATTCAACAATGATTCTAAATAAAATAGAATTATAAGGTTTAAAAAAAGATACACTATTTTGACTACCTTTATCAAAAGCTTCCAGAGCATCAACTCTCGACACCCGGCTGAATGTGGAGAGGTACGTAAGGGTCGACTGGGTTCTAGTTAAGACAGCGCCCTTTTCAATAAAAGACGGAGTGATTTCTGTAATAACAAAAACTCTATCCTTTTCGCGAAGTAATTTTGAATCCTCCATTGTGTAGACTTCTCCAGAATAACATCTATAAAATATGTTTAATTTATACCAAATTGAAGTTGATTTAAGCAAAAAGGTAGAAGCAAATCCTACAAAAGCTTATTAATGTCATCTACAGTTGATTGGAGGTCGGGGGAAGTCCAATCGATTGCTTTATCGGGTTTAAAATGAATATCGAAGGGTCCACCATCTCTAAAAACTGCCTTAACAGATCGAACAAGTAGATGAGGTCTAGCCCTACTAACGAAGGTAGACGTGTACAGGTCAAAACCAGTGTAGCGTTGAATGTGAACAAGAATGCCTTAGTATAAACGATAATAAATTAAAAATAATCAAACCCATTCCAAAATGAAACAAGGCAGTGTTTCGATGGCATATTTCGCCTTCAACTATGGGAAGCCAATTTACCGGAGATGGGATAGCAGCTCTGTGACTCCGAACACCTTCGCCACAATAAATGCCATCAAGAAACACCCATGGTTCTGAAGTATCAAGTCCGATATAGCCGTTACAAAGACTTGGTAGGACAATTTGATCGGCCGAACTATAATATAGGATATTTGTTTTAAGACGTAAATCAATAAGGAAACTTCATCAACAAAATTTATAGAAAACTAACTCATATGAATACTCAGCTAAAAAGTCATTAATTGGGCCTAGTAAGTGGCAAAATCTGGGAAGAGAGTTTAACCAAGAATCTGGGAATTTCATCGGAGATTTAAGTTGACACTCAGACAAACTTCTTCATACAAAGCTCTGCGTTTGTAAAAGTTAAAACTAACTTCAAGGTTAAACTGAATTTATTTGGAAGTTGTTACCATGCCATTTGATATCACTTATAGGAAATATGGCTTATTTCATTTTTTAAGATCACCAAGTTCCTGTAGCAGCTCATAAAGTTTAGATGTTGCATTAACATTGGAAAGATTTGCTGTGGTCTTATATTAGCATCTTAAATAGATTTGTAATTACCAAACAGCTCAATCTTGCTACCAAGAGCTATTTGGTCATTTATCCCTAATTTTATTCAAATTATGATTTGAATTAGAAACATTTTCCTTATGACTTTTTTAAAAACATATTTCCTTGAATTCACTAATTAAAACTTTCGTATTGGCAAGTATTAAAAAAATAAGTCATTCATAAAAATACAGCACTTTTTCTAATTGTATATCCACATTGATATTGATCAGAGAGAGGCGTAGCGTTAAATCACATAAATTCAATGGTCTCCTTAAACGGCAGAAGGTCACGACAGTCTTTTCTCATATCAGATTACCAAGAGATGAGTTAATAGAAAGGTTTGTCGAGTGAGAGTCAATGGAGAAAAGGAGAGTAAATCGAATGGATACCTAATTGTCACGATCTTTCTTTCTTTAAACTGAGTTGTGATTTTTGTTGATATGAACTAACCAAATTTAACTTTAAGTTTAAAAAATATTTTAAATGAAAAATTTTATTGTATTTGTGATTTAATCCAAAGAAGAACAAGAAAGTAATGTAAAAGTAGTCGTACTATTCTAGTGAATATGCAAAGATTAGCTCATAAATTATTCTTCGGATTGTTAATACTATACATTTACTCAAAATCTACATCGATATGTTTATTAAAATAGATTTGTTATATCATATTGACTATGAAATCGGTTATTACCAATTCGCAAATATGCCAAATGAGAAAACCAAATATAATAATGAAATTCACACAGAGCATAGACCGGCCGATGTCTTTCCACACAATGAAGACCTTAATCAGGAGAGAATTCAAGACCTCAAGGTGCGACGTACCTAAAGCTTGAACAAAGGAAAAACAGTGGACAGTGGCACTCTCCGACATAGCCGACTGGCCAAGAATCGAAGCCGTTGCTGAGTTTAGACTACGTACCGGACACGATTGCTTGGCAAAACATCTTCACAGATTGGGAGTATACACTCGATCCACATGCCCTCTATGTAACCTACAGGAGGAAAAGGAGAAGACCCACCCGATTCGGGGTCTAGCCCTAACGACAACGACGGAAAGCCAGAAATACTGGGAAGCAAGAAGACAGCTAATGATATGCAATTAATTAATTGCTATATGTGTACCCCCCACACATGGTGTAATGATATGCAATTAATTAATTGCTATATGTGTACCCCCCACACATGGGGAAGCTAAAGTCAAAGTTTAAGGGCTAATGATAAATATCATACAGCCTCCCATTTGAAATAATAATAGTAATAATAAATAATTCACACAATTTGGTTTGTGTCTTATTTTCATATTTCACTGAAAATCATATCCATATTTAAAAAGCATTTTTTGCAATGTTCCCATTATTGAATATTAAATCCCAAATTCTGTCGTTGCTTGAGTTACTCATAATAAACTATAAATAAAGACAATTTCACAGGCCTCAGTAAAATATTATTGCCAATTTTCGGTGTAATTTTTGTCATCCATTATTTCATTGAACTGTATCATTTAATAAAATAATTTGAAGGCCATTGACGCTTATACGGATTCAAAACTTAATATCTGCTGTAATGGGTAGGCGGTACTCCTATCCATTCATTTTAAATCCCGTAGGTTATATCTCATTATAGATGTTAATATTTGCTAAGTTCCTATATGCGACAGTGATTAATCGAGTTATTTTACGTAACTATGTTTATTGTTTTTCTTAAATCTAATAGCTAAAGTTCAAAAACATAAAGGACTTTAACGCGTCTTCATCTCATCTAAATGAAATTTCAACTCTTCTTGGCACCGTAGATGTTCCAAATCGCCATGGAAATGAAATCTGCTTTTATTCAAGCCTTCTCATTAAGAAAATGATTGAGGCTCAGTATCATAGAACTGAGTTGGTCAAACTCCTTGTTAATGAAGGAGGTATCACTGTCAAAGATAAAAATAATGTAATTACTGTTTTGAAAATGTATTTTATTGGATATTATTATTTACAGCTTTTCATTTTGTTTTTTAGGACGTTCTACTCGATTACCACTTTGAGGATCTGACATATGTTTGGGTCCATCCAGATGAACCTCGCATTTTAGGAATTATCTGTACTTTAAGAACTCCCAATTCTCCAAACCCAATATCTAGATTCACCGCTTTCAGAATGTCGTCGAAGGTATTTTGGTCTCAAAATATATTTTTTTAATCTAACTTTTAATGTCATTAAGAGCCTCGATCTTTCTTAGGCTAAAAAGTTTGCCTATCGCCTCCAGCACATCTATTGCGACTACATGGACAGGCTCCATCGTAAAGCATCATTCGCATCAATTGTGAGCTCACCCATCTTTATGTTCGCCTTTTTTCTTAATGAAAGAACCTATTTTCACATTTTACTCGGTAAATATGACTCATTCTTTAAAGTCAAGCTGTTCTTTATTTGGGGTGTATTTCTTCTACATCGCCCAACACAGATGGCTTTTGTCTAAACGAAGAACAGTATAGTCATTCATCAAATGATAATAAGGTAGTAGCCTGATCGCTGACATCTTGTTTACCTTGTCAATTCGCTGCTACTTGTGCTCAAGCTGTTTACATTGAGGTTATGTGTTTGGGGTTCATGCAAATGCGAATATTTGGCTTTTATGATTTATATTTACATAATTTTGTTTAACGCGTTTGATCTTCCTCAGATAATGGATGACATACAAGTTCCAGAGGAGCCTAAGAGAAAATTTGCTGATCCTGCGAGAATGGAAGTCTACCGAACTATATTGAGTAAGAGTTTTCAAGTTATACCTCAGTTTACTTCATTTTAACTTAAAGCTTTAAGAAACACTTTCCCATGCAGCCGAAAGGAAAAGATACTAGGTTAGGGTTAATTACGAGCTAATATTTACCACATGTGTTTCCATATGATCCATTATATTTGCCCAATCATGTACATTAAGTTGCTCAATTACTTTCTTTACTCTGGTTGGTTACCAATTCCTTCCATGCCATTGGTTAAAAATTTCGCGTAGACAGACGGAAAAGACCTTCACGTTGATTATTCTCTTTTTATAACTCACAGAAATGCATTGATTTTCCGTTGAGGAGATGTAACTGAAATCAGTTAACGGAACCGCAAAAGAAATGTTGGAGATGCGGTTTTGTTATCAGAGGGCATTATTTTGCTTATTATCCTGTATTATTTTTGCATTCCTATATTCAAATTAAGTGATTTGCCTCCTTAATTAGCAAGCAGATTCTTTATGGCTATTTTTAGTGTTTATTGGCCGTTTCTCACCGATGGGAACTGTTTGCCACATCATTTTACGCTTTTTTGGATGCTTACACGATGCCCTGGTAATATTATAACTGTTTGAAAACCTTTTCAACTGATTTTTCAGTTTAATTCATTTATCACTTTTTTGAATAGTTCCATTTGCAAATAATGAGATTTATCTGAGCATTTTGGCTTCAAATACAAAACGCACTATCTGATGAACTACATTTTTAATGCTTCCTGAATGAAGCCCCCCCCCTCAATTTTGCCACAGTAACTGTTGAAAGTAATTTTTGAAATTTGTGATACGAGTTGAGGATGTAGATGAGAAAAACCAAATCATTTTACTTTGACGACATCCGGCTTTTGGCGTCTCTTGCGTCAATTCAAGGATTGTTCTATAGTGCACCACCCTGGAATATTCTTAAATCAAGCTTTGACTAATTTGGTCGGCACTGCCAACAGTGCAATAATGGAGGAAGTTCAAAAGTGCGGTTCTCGACGCCATCTTGAAATTTATTATTACTTGTTCTATTTGAAACAAAGCCTATTATTATGAAATAGTTTATTTCAGTCTTTTTAGTTTACATTTAAGTCAGCCTTAAATCAACTGTCTAAATTCTAGAGCCAATATCAACTGAATGTTTTTTATTTGTTTGTGTGTAATATGTGATATGGTTAAGACTAAGAACCGAAGAAGGCCTCGTTATTTTTTAAACATTTATTTGATCTTATGAAAATTTTTTCTCATTATCTTTCATAGCTGGAATTATTTCTTGATTAAGACGATAGGGATTTAGAATTTACTGCAGAGCAGAGTAAAGCGGTTTTTTTATCAAGTTTTCGAAGTGGCAAAGCAGCAGAGATCTAGTGACAGCCCATTTCAAAAGAAAATGATTTGTAAGATGAGGAGGAGAGTTCTACTTCATCTGACTTCTGAATTTGCTCAGGAGTTGCTTCAATATTTCGCTTTTCAGAATTCTACCCCTTTGCTTCTTCTGAATCACCACGCTTTGTTCACGATTCGACTGGTTGCTAATTTTTGATGTTTAATTTTACCCTTTCAAATGCTAGAGAAATAGGGATATCACTAATTTATAGATTCTAATATATCTTTACAACAAATAAACGGATAGACGAGACTGGCAGGAGTGTTTTAAGCAATCAATATTCTTGTTGATCGTAATTGGTTAATGGGGATGATCTCTTGTTGAGTCTCTACGCTGATAAGTTTTAATAAGTGAGGATTGTTGTTCTCTCTACGGATTTGCACTCTACAATGGCGGTGTGCGATAGACTTACCTTCACGTTGTGGACCCTGGGCAACGTATACTCATACGACAAAATACGTTGTGGACCCTGGGCAACGTATACTCATACGACAAAATAGTCTATTAACCGGCAGTTGACTTCTCACTTCAAACTACCACCACCCCACTGTACGTCATATTCGACTACTTTCACAGTACTCACCTCACCTTTTTCACTCTACCTTTGTGTCTCCATATTCGACTACTTCCACAGTACTCACCTCACCTTTTTATATTCGACTACTTCACAGTACTCACCTCACCTTTTTCCCACCTCACCTTTTCACAATATTCGACTACTTTCACAGTACTCACCTCACCTTTTTTATACATTTGTGTCTGTCTCTTTTACATCTTTGTAATACTCTTCTGTTCACCCCCCCCCTCTCGACTTTGTTTTTCAATTTGATGTACCTCCTCCTCTCTGTGAAGCCTGAAGCCGACTAAAGGGCTAGTGATAACTATCAAAACGCCTACCATTCGATATAAATAAATATTCTCCAATGCAAGGTAAGATGAGTCTGTCGAGTTGGGCATCGAAGTTGAAGGTGAGCACTTCCAACAATTGACTACTCAGTGTGCGGTTATTTTCACAAGTTTCTGCGTGGGGCCTCTATTATTCTGGCCATCTGGTGGTGTCCTTTCCAAAGATGGCCATTTTACCTGCCTTCCTGTGTTTGCTTATATATATATCTGGTGTTCACAATGCATTGACCACTGGGTTAATCTGAATGTTTGGATAATTAATTTTAAGTTCTTTTCTTCTTCTAATGGTCAAGATGGCCCAATATCGAAAACCAAATGTGTTTTCACTAGAGTTTATTTAAATAGATGCACTATTTCCTGACTTCTTCCAGTCGCAGTTGAAAGAACTGCCACTCCCAAGTCCTGGCGACTGATTCATGAGTAATTCTCTCTCTATAATGACATTTCTCAGAAGTACCACCTTTTGTGATGAATGTCTGTTTTGATCGCTATATTACCTTGGCAACATTATTAAATTTTAGGAACTCAATATCCAGACTTGTTCGCTCACCGCAGCAACTCATCGGTGGATGGCTTGCGTTTCAATGAAATTCAACACCACGTAAGTTACTATGCTCAATTTTTTTTTGAAATCACTACCAATCATGCCAACTAAATTTGAAAATTTTGCATTTTAAGCTCAATTATAAATTTAATGTAGAACTTTTCTAACTAAAATTTTACACTAGTTACTGAGTTTTAGTGGACGTAGGCTTGTGTACTCGTGAGCAATTTTACACTACTTATCTCTGCTATCCATAGAAAGAGAACAAGAAACCGCTCATCTGGAGATTCCGGAGAGAGCAGTTTGTTTGGATTGCCACTTACCTTTCTAACTTTAATTAGCGAACAATTGAGACAATTGTCTTGAACATTTACTTTACCTATATCAAACTTATTTAATTCGTTAATTTTATGTTGGTGAAAAAACGAGCCTCGATCCACAGTACCTCTTTAAAAATGGAGGGATTGTTTGATTACCGCTCTGTGGAATGTAAAATCCGATTTTTTGAATTTCCCTAATCTTTGAATGCCTCATAAGACTTCCATCAAACAAAGTATTATTTATTTATTTATTTATATCAAATGGCAGGGGTCTTGATGGTTATCATTAGCCCTTTAGTTGACTTCAGGCTTCACAGAGGGGAAGGAACATCAAAATGAAAAAAAGTCGGGAGGGGTGGGGGGAACAGAAGAGTGTTTTAAAGATGTAAGAGACAAACACAAACGTAGAACAAAGGTGAGGTGAATACTGTGGAAATAGTCGAATATGGCATAGAGTGAGGTGATGGTAGTTTGAAGTGAGAAGTCAACTGCCAGTTAATAGACTTTTTTGCCGTATGAATATACGTTGCCCAGGGTGCACCACGTGGAGGTAAGTCTATCGCACACCCCCCATCAAATAAAGTTGAAGTAGTCGATTATTCGAGGTTCATTATTCGCGCCTATCTCCGTCTTGGACAGAAAACGCTGTTAGCATTTTAATCATTAATTGGCTTCCTGACACGAGTTATGGATAGAATTAATGCTAATTCTATTTGTTGAAATTCAATCTATTTTCCCATATGGAAATGGTTCTCTTGCAGATACTCCATTGTCCTAAGGCCAAATTTCCATTCTTTAATTTCTTGATTCCCCTTACTTCGAGTAATTGGAGCGAATTTCTTAACTTATTTCTGCTAGTTTTTTGGTGGCATTAGAGAAAATTTTTACAAATAGGATATCTTACAAATAAGAAAACAAGTCGATCTAAGGTTTTTAAAAGGTTAAGCTATTTTATACAGGAGTAATCGTAGGAAGTCAAGTTCATACCCCCCTAGCTATCGACAGGCTTGCCTATTGATCCACACCTCGAGGGGGTGGGAAGTGAAGTTACTTCAGTACTTTTAATTAGCCTGTTAACGCCCGAATTACTTTTTAAAAATGCACCCAACCGCACTCACGCGTGTCCCACAGAGAAGACTGATACCGACGACATGATGAGTTTTGGTGGTAACAGGCGAAGGCTATGGAGACGCACTTAACATGTTTCAAACGGCAAAATCGACTTCTATTACAAGTCTAGTACCAATGGAGCTTATTTTGAAAGAGGACCGTACGGTTCGAAAGCCCTTTCAGGATTAACTGAAGCTGTTGTATAGAAATGCGCGTTTATTTTTCATTTTACCAACGTTTAGGCGACAAACTACAAATTGGCTGATCCTAATATCTGTCTAGAGTGGCGTACATCCTCACACCAATGTGGATGATGTGCGGCTTTGAGACAGGCTTCGAGAGTTGCTCATCCCCAGACAACATAAACACTTCATTATAAGCTTTTGGTTCAACAACTCCCTACCATAAAAAATATAACTTTTTTATGTATGAAATTTCATATATAATTTTTGGTTTTTGTATATTGTAGGATTTACGAAGGGTCTCTACGTCGAATAACATTAACCACTCACGGAAGATTTGAAATTTGTTCATTTATTTCTTTGCTATGTATAGGCATTGTGATTATCAATTGTGCTTTCAAGTTCCTTGTGAATATTATTAAAATCACTTTCCCATTGGTTGATTTCTATGTTTTATTTTTTGCGTGGCCCAATCTAAACAATGTGTACTTGAAGTCTACTGATGAAATAAAATGTACCGTTTTGACTTATTCTTTTTTTGGAGGGAAAAATTTATGAATAATACTTAGTTGGTCATTTTTATAGATGGTTGTAAGGCT